TGAAAGGCTTCTGAAAACTGAGTGCGTATGAGTGTAAGGGGGTAATGTATTCCACTTTTGTCTTTCTCACTCTGTATTTACCTTCTAGCGTGTAGTATCTTCTGTATCTTGAAGTCCAATGGATTTGAAGGAAATAGATGTGGAACTAGAACTCAGATCTAGAAATGGTTTTAAATTTTCTCTGACATTCTCTTTACTCCATTTTCCCTGTCTATAACGTGGGCAAAATGCTGTTACAGCATCTAGTTATGGACTGTTGTGATTAGGTGCCAAGCAAACCTAGAATAAAAAAACCATTCACTCCAAGCCCAAAGAGCTTTACATATTTCCAACCTCACAAAAGTACTTTGATAGTTAATTTTTAAAGTATTTCTTTAAAAATGTTTTGAGAAGATTAGACTGGGTAAACCCAACATAACAATGTTGACAGACAGGAGAGACAAATCAGACTTACTTTCCCTTAAGTTATAGGGTATTTCACATGGCAGCTGCATTTTTTCCCACCCTATCTATATGACAAAAATCAAAAGGCAGTAGCTTTTGAAGTTTTAGAATAGTTTTCGAAACTTTGACTTTTGAATCAGATCAAAGTTATGAATATGGCAAAACAGCTTCATCTAGAATGCTCATTGAGTGTTATCTTGTAAATGTAATAAAACAGCTTCTCTCCCTTTTCTGTTAAAATCACTTCACTAAACATCTGACATTTAGAGCTGACGTTGTACTAGTGAGGGATACTTACTGTGTTCTTTTCCTGAAATGGACGTTTCCCATGAAATGATAAGGAATGTTTCAGAGTTGTGCCGGAAATATTAATAGTTCTGCTTTGCTCATGTTTTAATGTGTTTAAATACAGAGCATTTCAGCATATAAAGCAGTAATATAAGTGCTGGTGTCTCAGCACCTTTTAGCATGCATTGCTGAATATACAAATGTACACACTTTGAAACCACACAGATGTGAAAATTTGCCATTCATAAGCTAAACTAGTTCAATAAAAAGACAGACAAAAAGATTTCCTTCATGTCTAAAGGCAAAGTACCCTAATGCTTCTATTTTTAGGAAGGAAAATTAATGACCATTTTTTACAAAGGAAGCAGCTCTTCTCTGCAGTTCAGAACTGATTAGTAAATGGATATGCAGAAAGCTCTGCGTGGAATTAGACAAGTATGAGTCTGTGCACTTCAATCTATTTTATACATGTTCTCCAAGACCTCAACAACTAAAGCTAATGTTCCCTCAGCTCCATTGAACTAATTAAGCTAGGTCATTAAATTAATAATGGGTTGCCCTTCTGTCTGCATTTATGGCACTTAGCAAGTCAGTGTGCATGTGGATGCTTATCTCATGAAGGAGAAAGCTCCTGTCAATGAATTAGGTTAATCCATCCAGAGAATTAATGTGACTTGATTACTGTTGATACCTGAAAAAGCTGTCACACACCATCAGATATCTGCAGCTGTAGGGAGTGAGTGACAACACTCCAAAGCACTGAGCAAGGCTGTGGGCCTGGACTATCGAATAAAGAGGCTGCTGAGGCCAAGATGTGGTGCTGGGCTGCTGATGTGATAGATGCAAAGGGTGCCACAGGACCTGAATGTTGCTATCAACCCTTAGCTTAACTCAGGGGGGTTGGTATTTTGCCACAAACAGTCCTAATGTCTTCTGTCATGAAAAAATACTTCCCCAAATTAGCTTACAGTTCTCTTGCTTTCTTAATGAGCATGAAAGAGCAGAAACACTTGAAAATTCATTAAGAAAAACTCTGCAGTCACCCCCCCCAAAAATAAAAAGTCAACTGCACTTTGGACATGGCTTTGATAGTTTTCTTGTTCTGTCAATTCTTTCAGCAGCCACTTCACCTCCTTCAGTTCTCTTGCTGACAGAGTGCCATATCCAAGGTTGCTAATGGTTTGGAAGTTCCTGAGCACTGAAAAAGTAGTCCCTTAAGCTGGTGATAACTGGCTGAGAGAAAAATGCAAAGATTCTTCTGTATCATAAATATTAAAATACAATGAAAAGTTGATAGCTGGCATAAAGGAAAAGGTTTCAAAATTGCTGAAGTGGAAATATACATAGAACAAGAGATTTTCTTCTTCGTAGAAAGAAACATGCATGAGGGTTTCTTTGTATTATAGACATGACAATTATGATTTAGCATGAAACCAAGTTAAAAAATCACAAGTTTTGAAAATGATGTTAATGCTGCCTCCTAAAAGTTGATGGGCAGCTCCAGCATTTCAGTTTTTAAGAATGAAGTATTAGAGATCTATCAACAGCACCCAACATTTTTGATTAATAGTTTACTTAGCTGCAGCAAAGAGGAGAGAATGACTTGGCTCATAGTCTCACACCAACAAAAAGCCTATATTCCATTTGTTTGTCTCGTACGTAGTGAGAAAGTCATGAAGCAACTCAAGAGTCCCAGAGAAGTGCTCTTCAGCCCCTCCATGCCCTCCCAACTACTGGCTTAGGGTCCAAAGACTGGGCTTGGTGAACTGCCCAGGACCTTTGTAAGCACTGAAGTAAGGAACAAATTGTCCAGATGGTTTGTTAAACAAACAAAACTAAGTGTCTATTCAATTGAACTGTTTGTTTAAAAACGGGATATATTGAAGTCATTTAAGACCTTAGGGATACAAATTTGTTTAGGTATTTGTCTGCAGTTGTAACACTCATTTACAGATGAGGTTACAGTAGCGTGCTTAGGCTTCAAAGGCATGGTTCATGGCACTTTTTTATGTGTTTCCTGACAGTCCATGGCAATATAGGTAGCCCAACACGGCCATAAAATAGCTACTCAGGCACACAATAGCAAATACATACTAAACCCAGTAAATTTTGGATAAAATCTGATAGTGTGTGAATGACGGTGCAGCTTGCAAAGGTGGTATTAAGCTCAGCCACAACCATTAGTTTGACTGATGATGCACACAGAGCATGCGGAATTACCTAGCACTTCTTGGAGGAGCTGTTTTCATGAACAGTAGTACAAGAGGAAGAAAAAAAAAAAAATCAAAATAAAATAATGTCCCGGGCAGGCTATCTTAAAACATTTTGGACTGCTATTTCAAAATCAAATTTCCACAAATAAAGAGAAAAATGTCATTCACTGTGGCACTTTTTGCAAAGTCGGAAGGTTAAAAGAAAGTTATTTTGTAACTGAGCATAAAATAGGCATTTGAGAAATGATTTAGTTGGAAAAAACACAATTTTTTCCACATTAAGATAACTTAAGAACACCCAAATTGATTTTTATTAGACTTCTCATATTCACTCTGAGCTGACACATGCATGAGATATTCAGCCCTAAAGGTCACTTCTGAGAAAGCTATAAGTAACTGGAAACAGCACTGCAGGATGAAATGATGCCTCATTGCTAACTATTACTGCTGGAGAGTGATAAATATTTTACTCCTGAGGCTAAGAGCCGGCTCCTGTAAATAAATTTTTATTTCTCAGCCGTGCCAATTGCTGAAAGATGATGTGACAGAGCTGCTTTTCCCGATTTTAATTTTTTGTTTAAAGGGAGGTGGGAGGCCTGTGGGCCTGTGTTGGAGGGAGCCCACCACAGCCTTCTCCGTGGCCAGGAGCAGGTGGTGCAGAGAGAGCCCTGGCTCCTCTCATCCCACTGAGAGCAGGGCCACTGGCCATGCCCAGCACGGGTGTCCTCTTCCTCCATGCCATCCCTGCCCAGGCCACTCAGCACTTCTCAAAAACACAAAAACAGTGTTGGTGGCTAAGGGAAGAGCAACTGACATCATCTACCTAGATTTGTGCAAAGCATTTCACACTGTCCCACACGACAGCCTCATCTCTAAATTGAAGTGACAAGGATTTGGGTGGGCCACTCAGTGGATAAGGAGTTGGCTGCACGGCCACACTCAAAGAGTTGCTGTCAACAGCTCGATGTCCAAGCGGTGACCAGCGGTGAGCAGTGTTCCTCAGGTGCTGGTACTGTGACCAGTGCTGTTTAACGTCTTTGTTGGAGACACGGACAGCGGGATCGAGTGCACCCTCAGCAAGTTTCCCGATGACACCACGTTGTGCGGGACGGTCGACAGGCTGGAGGGAAGGGATGCCATCCAGAGGGACCCGGACAAGCTAGAGAGAGGTAGGCCCATGTGAACCTCACGAAGTTCAACGAGGCCAAGAGCAAGGTCCTGCGTCAGGGTAACCCCAGGCACAAATGCAGGTCAGCATTCTCTCCTATGAAGACAGGCTGAGGGAGCTGGGATTGTTCCCGATGACACCACGCTGTGCGGGACGGTCGACAGGCTGGAGGGAAGGGATGCCATCCAGAGGGACCCGGACAAGCTAGAGAGAGGTAGGCCCATGTGAACCTCACGAAGTTCAACGAGGCCAAGAGCAAGGTCCTGCGTCAGGGTAACCCCAGGCACAAATGCAGGTCAGCATTCTCTCCTATGAAGACAGGCTGAGGGAGCTGGGATTGTTCAGCCTGGAGAAGAGGAGGCTCTGGGGAGACCTTATAGCGGCCTTTCAATATCTGAAGGGTGCCTATAGAAGAGCTGGGGAGGGACTCTTTGTCAGGAAGGGTAATGATAGGACAAGGGGAAACGGTTTTAAATTGGAAGAAAAAAGATTCAGATTAGATCTCAGGAAGAAATTTTTTACTATGAGGGTGGTGAGACACTGGAACAGGTTGCCCAGAGAAGCTGTGGATGCCTCATCCCTGGAAGTGTTCAAGGCCAGGCTGGATGGGGCCTTGAGCAACCTGGTCTGGTGGGAGGTGTCCCTGCCCATGGCAGGGGGGTTGGAACTCGATGATCTTTGAGGTCCCTTCCAACCCAAACCATTCTATGATTCTATGAGAACGGATTGGTGATTTACAGCTTTTCTCCAGAGCTAAGCGGCCGGCATGGCCTCCAGTTCAGAGGCGGGAAGGTAGAGCCCAGCAGTGGCTCCCTACGGGGTGTCCCAAGCCTCCAGGAGCCTGTCCCGTTGAGGCTGAG